GTGAGTGAGTGTGTGTGTGTGTGTGTGTGTGAGTGAGTGTGTGTGTGTGAGTGAGTGAGTGAGTGAGTGAGTGAGTGAGTGAGTGAGTGAGTGAGTGAGTGAGTGAGTGAGTGTGTGCGTGTGTCTCTCTCTGTGTGTGTGTGTACCGTTCATGCATGTCCTTGGCTTCTCGCTCTTTCCTCTTGATCTCCAGCTCGGCAAAGAGCTTCATGGTCTGTTTATAAACCGCCTGCCGGAACTACAGACACACAAACACACAATCAGAGCTCAAACACGCTAAAAACACGTCAGGATCACATGTCAATCAGGATATTGTTACTCTACTGCTGCTGTTTGGTCATTTTTGACAACATTTTTACGTTTTAGTTTTTTAGAATCTTTAACTGAATTGAAATGGTACAAAACATGGTAAAGATTTGGCCAAGTGCTGTGTGAGCTCTCTCTCTTTCTCTCTCACACACACACACACAGACACACACACACACACACACAATTATTGACATGATTCAAAAAGGTTAAATGGTCCTGAATAAAATAATCACACTCGTGCCATTTGTGGTCAAAAATGATGCATTGCAAATGAATGAGAGATGAATGCCATCTAGTGGAAACCTTTGGTACTGCGGCCAAACAAAATCTCTCTGAAAGCTCATTTTTATATCTAACTCAAACTTCTGTAAAATTGTGAAAAAATCAAAGCTATAAATCTACAGTGAAAAATGTTTTGGAAAATATATTTTTCATATAACATTTGAAAACAGCATTTTTATGCATTTTTCATGACAAATTTAACATTTAATTTTTTTTTTTTTTTTTTTTTTACAGTTTTCACTCTCAAGATTTACCACAGCTCAAAAAGTGGTTAACAGGTAATCAATGGATCATAACTATTCCATAAATACAATATAGTACCATAAAATCCCCTACAAATACAAAACATTAAATAAAAACATTACTGCACTAAAATAGAGTACATTGATTTGATTGAAATAATTAAATGTTTTGACCTGCATGTGAGCAGCAGCAGACGGTTAATGCCACGATGAAACTGAAGTAGAATCAGATCTGATGAACACATGTAATAGATTATTGTAAAGGAATGATGAGGGCGGGGCTTGGATCAGCGTATCAGTTGTTGATTGGATGTGGAAATATGGGCGTGGCTCTCAGACAAGCATGAGCTTTAGGGGCGGGGTTTAAACACATTAAATGATTGGCCAAATAAAAATAAAAAATTGGTTTAGGAATCATCAATGATGGCGTTGTTTGACTCTCAGCGTCTGTGATGAACACAAACTACAAACGGATAAATGAAGACTATGGAAGAGTAGTCATTATAATGCGAGATTAAGCTCGATAAATTTCAAGTAAAAAGTCAAAAAATAATGTTGAGAATAAACTCGTTAAATTATGAGAAAAAGTGTTAAATTTTAAGAAAAAAACTTGCTAAATTTAGAGAAAAAAGTCTAAATAAAATGCTCGATTTTATAAATAAATAAAGTTTAAATAAATAAAATTTAACGAGTTTATTCACAACATTTTATTTGAACTTTTTTTTCTCAAAATTTAAGTTTTTTCTCAAAACACAATGTTTTTATTCTCGAAATGTATTGAGTTTATTCTAAGTTTATGAGTTTATTTATTAGAGTTTTATTCTCAACATTTTATTTTAACATTTTTCTTGAAATTTATCGAGTTTAATCTTGCATTATAACCACTTCAATCTCAAGATGGTTTTATTTATTTTTTTAATTGTTTGGCCCTCATCCTCTTTCGTAGACATGATATGGAAGCAAAACAGACCAAAATCACAGAGTTGCCCAGTGCATGTAAACAGTTTTTGCGTGTAGTGTCTGTATGAAATCCTGACCTTCATGTCAAACATTCATCACGCAGAAGCATCTCAGTGTCACGTGACACAAACGTGTCGAGGCGTGAACGTACCACTTCCGGGTCGTCTTCCTCCACCTCTGTGGGCTTCCCGTCCTTCTTGAGCTGCTTCTTCTGCTGGCTCATCTGTGAGAGGTCAGAGGTCAGTCTGGTGTTTAGTGCAGAGCGCTGTAGAAACACACGTGTGTCTGGAGATCACCAGTGGCTCACCATGTGCTCAACGTACTCCTTCCCCGCGTGGATCACATCCAGCGCCTTCTTCTTATGCTCTGGCTCCAGCAGCATCTTATAGGCCTTATCGACCGCTGTGCACACACACACACACACGCTCAGCATCACACACTCAGGACGCTCTAACACCAGCATGAGCTGCAGAGACGCTGCGGTTTACCTTCGAAGGCCTGCTGGGCTCGATCCACATCGTCCTGGTTCTTGTCTGGATGGACGAGGATGGACAGCTGAGGACAGAGAGAGAGACGGGCATGAGACACTGAGACTCTCTGAGACACACACACTCACAGAGAGATGAAGATCTACCTGTCTGAAACGCTTCACGCACACAGACACAGTAACGCACACGCACACACACACACACGCAGGTCAAACAACAGCATGGATATTAGTGATTCCAGCGCAGGATATTTGTCAGCGATGGTCAGTTTCTGTGATCTTTATCGTTAGATCTTCACATCTTTCCCTTTCTTTAAACAAAACCAGTGCTTGAAAACAGTGGCTTGATTATTATTCTCTCAACAATAAAACAGTACAATGACAAACTCACTTATATTAAACAGAACATTTATTAAACATAAGACGAGTGATATATGACAAAAATATATTTATTGTGGCCACGAATTAAGAATTCCTTCCTAACAAGGGAATTAATTTAGTGGACAAGGTTATTTTACTTAACTAAAACCATAAATAAAATTATATTACTTGAAATAATAAAATAAATTCTAACTGAAATAAAATAAAATATTAAAAACCTAAACTCATTTCAGCTAGTTGCCAAGGCAGCATTTCTTATTTTTATTTAGTTTAACTTAATAAAGTAAAACAATTCAAACTAAAACTAATAAAAATGACAAAGACACCCAAAAAAGTATTAAAACTTTAACTAAATTTAACATGAAGGTAGAAAAATAAATAAATAAATAAAATTAAAATTAAAATCTTAAAATAAAATATTAACAAAAACTATATTAGTATCTCAATGATACTAAAATAACTAAAATACTACTAAAATAACACCAGGCGTGGGAATGAATTCTCACATGTTGCGTTGTGTGAAGTACAGACTGAACGGATTGTCAACACATCCCACCGCTGTATGGCCAGATGAGATGCCACCTACGTTTTCTCAACTGGATAACCAGTGTTTCGCTAGTGAAGTTTTGATGGATGAAGACTGCAATCAAGGTAAAGACGATTGCGGTGGTGTACAGGAGTCGTACAGTACAGTAAGCACATGTGAGTCCGTTATAATAATGCGTGTATGAGTGCTATTGACGCACTGATCGCACACTGTATTTATGCACAAGCACAGACATTTTCGTACATTCACGTTGTTTCCACACACATTCACGATAATGTTTTGATTCGCCATGTTTATGTTGCTGTGTTTAGTTATTCTGAATGGATCCGTGTACTGTAGTAAATATACGTTTAGTTATTCTGAATGGATCTGTGTACTGTAGTAAATATACGTTTAGTTATTCTGAATGGATCCGTGTACTGTATTAGATCTATGCAGTCAGCAGGCGGGTGGTTTAGGGTTTTTTGGCATCTCCATGTGGTGCTGTTCGGTATCGCAACTTGGCTTCTCAAAAATGTAAAAAAGCTCTTTGCTGTTGCACTGTTCACATACTATAAAATTCAGATTTTTTTTTCTTTCATATGTGCTTATATGGGCTCCTTATATCATTTGGTTCTTTGGTGTCCTTTTGGAGTTTCTAAGTGTCCTTTTTTGGAAAGACATCTAAATTTATCTTGAAAAAAGCTTGCAGAAAATGCAGATTTTTGAGAATCACCCTTCAATCTTTTGGTTTACTTTGCTGGATATAGCAAATGATGACAAAATAAACATTTGAAACAAGATAAATGGTCTATGCTTAATTTCATAAATATATTAAATATATAAATGTAACATTTTTCTGAAATATATACATGCATGTGTGTGTATTTATATATACATAATAAATATACACAGTACACACACATATATTATGTAAACATAACTTTTATTTTGGATGCGATTAATCGTCTGACAGCACTAGTGTATACATATATATATATATGTGTGTATTCTACAACACCAGTGGCGGTGGGTAACAGTGTGAGCTTCAGTGATGCCTGACACAAGCTGACCTCAAACGGGTTGAGATTGAAGTATGAAGCTCCTGGTCGCAGTAACCTGTCGATCTGCTGTTTGGAGGTTAAAACTGAGTCTCTCTTCTCGATCTGCTTCACCTGAGGAACGAGACACAACCGCAGACCATCACGCTTCTGAGAGAGGCTCTTCTATACTTATCACAATACTGTGAAAATGATTAAATATTATTACAATGTAAAACAGCTGTTTTCTGTGTGAATATCTGTTAAACTGTAATGTATTTCTGTGATGCGCAGCTGTATTTTCAGCATCATTACTCCAGTCTTCAGTGTCACATGATCTTCAGAAATCATTCTAATATGCTGATTTGCTGCTCAAGAAACATTTCTGATTATTATCAATGTTGAAAACAGTTAGAGATATTATTTTCATGAGAATCACCCTTTATGAAAATTAACCATGGTTTTACCACAAATAAAGTAACCATGTTTTTTTGGCTATTGTTAAACTATGGTAACCACAAATTAGCCATGGTTTTGCTACATTAACCATAGTTTAACCATAGTATTTGTAGCAAAACTGTGGTTATACAAATGGTAATCAATACGCCAAAAAACCATGGTTACTACATTTATACTACAATAAAACTCGGTTAATGTTCGTTTCGTCATCACTTGATCAGTGTAAACACGCATTCATCGCCGTGCTGAGGGCGAGTAGTGTTGAAAAAGCATTACAATACTGCATCGAGCGGATTACAGCGGAGTGCCCGGCAGCCGCTGTAGTGACTGTAGTGCTGTCTATGTAGGGCTCAGAGGGTTTGACACACCGACCGCGTGTGTTCGTGTGAGCGGAGCTCAGCGCCTCTCGGCCGCGTGTCTTTACTCGCTTTGGTTTATATTTGAGTCTGTGTGTGTGTGTGATGTTTCTCGGTCTAACCTCTGTGTAGAAGGTCTGAAACGCATCATCGCCGCCGCTGCCGCCCGCCGCCATCTTGCTACTAAACCGTCAGCGGAAGTCACGTCACATGACAAAATTAAAGTCCTCGACTCGCACTGCAAAAATGCGTTCTTCCTCAGTATTTTTTATTTTTGGCCAGTAAAAACATCCTTAAATTAATATGCAAAATTATTTAAATATCTGTCAATGGCGTCAGAAAAATACATTTAATTCAAAGGGAAGACCTCTCTCTCTCTCTCACACACACACACACTCTCTCTCTCTCTCACACACACACACACACACACTCTCTCTCTCTCACACACACACACACACACACACACACTCTCTCTCACACACACACACACTCTCACACACACACACACACACACACACACACACACACTCTCTCTCACACACACACACACTCTCTCACACTCACACACACACACTACATAAAGCTCACAGAAACCAGTGGAAGTTGCTCTATCGAGTTTTATTTTAACTGAACAAACAAAAAAATTAAAGTTATAAATACAAACATCAGACCAGCGGACCGTAGCTACTAAGGTAAGCCAGACCAAACCCTCACCAGCAAATCCCAAATGGAAAAAAACATCTTGAGTTATAACATCAGTATATCAGTTTTTAAAAAACACACTTCGACTACTTCTAGAAATGCTAAACAGACACCTAAACAGCACTCCTGCTACAAAACTCTTCCCCCCCTTCTCGTGGATTCTTTTCTCCACTTCTGCAAAAAAACGACAAAAAGTGAAAGGAAACGCTGAAAGAAAGCTCTAGTCGACAGCCATTATTTACAAGCGAGTCCCTATGCCACTAGCACTGAGAGAGAGAGAGACGATGAGAACGGAGGAAGGACGACATCTTTCTGGAAGGCCATTTCATGATTGAACGTCCCTCATGTCACGCACACGCTTGCTCGGAAGTATCAGTGTCTTCTTTAAAACGCTCATGGTGGAGTTTAAAACAAGGAGGATGTGGGAATAAAAGTGTTGTGTCTGTTTAAGACAAGCGTCCCGCCGAGGCCACGGACAGAATCTACAGGGCTACTGGAGGATAGAAAAGTCAAACAAACACAGCTGGCCAGGACGAGGGCGGGCTGCGCGTCTACTTCCACTGCTGGCCGTAGGAGTCCTGGGAGAACTCGAGCGAATCGTTGCTGTAGCCGTAGCCGGCGGCGTAGTCGGAGCCCAGGGGCTGCTGGGCGATGGGCTGCGAGCCCCAGTTTTGCTGGTTGGTCTGCCGGCGTTTGGAGTCCGGCTGGTTAAACACGTCTGCCTTCCTCTTCCCGCCCACATTACCGCCGCGGTTCCCTCGCGCGCCTCTGATGCCGCGGCCCCGGGGGGCCTGGAAGGGCCCGCCCCTTCCCCCGCCGCGGCCCCTTCCCCCGCCCATGGGAGCCCCTCCCCTCGGGGAATACCCACCCCTGCCGCGGGTGGGCGGAGCCGAGCGGGCTCTGGGGGGAGGCGGAGCTCCACGGCTCCGCCCACTGCCCCGCCCCCTCATGGAGTAGCCGTCGTCGTAAGCGTAGTAGGGGTCATCATAGCCGCCTCGGTAGTCGTGGTAATCGTAACCATAGTAGTCGTCGTAGTACTCCTCGTAACCGTAGTAATCGGGCGGGTAGGCGTATCCGCCCCGCCCACCGCGCCCGCGGCCACGCCCCGGAGGAGGCATGCGGGGGGGAGGGTAGTAATAATACTCGTCATACCTGCACAGGTGGACACAGACACACCGTCAGCACCTAAACCACAGTTCAGGAACACATTTCTGAGCTTAACCTGACAAAACTGACTTTTGGGGACATCCTCGTTTGTAAAAACAGCATAAAAATAAAGTTCACCCGATTCAAAATTCCTTTCTACATAAATGTGTGTAGGCAGTGTGTGTACACAGCCACCCTATAATGATAAAAATCCACCCAGTGCTTTTTTAAAATCCTAATAAATAATATGCCCTTTCTCAGATCGAGCCGTTTTCAGATGCTTGTCTGTGTGACGTCACACACACCCAGGCCCCTCCCACGATTGTTGATTGACACTGGGGTTTTATCTTAGCTCCGCCCTGAGTGAGCGGTCATCAGTCCTCCATTGTTTCACCGCCAGAGCAGATGTAGACAAGAATGACTCCTAAGCGATTGAGGTGTTCTGTTGTTGGATGTAATAATGAACATAGCAGTCGTCATTTACTCCCGACATCTGAGCCGCTGAAGACGCAGTGGATTTTGTTTGTTTCTGAAGGGAATGCGCCCCCGATCTACATAAATGCGTCTATGTTCGCTCGAATCATTCGTGATCCAGCTTCATCTACAGAAGAAGTGAGTGTAAGGTTTTCAATGAATCTTTGCAAATCTCCTTTTCTAATAATGCGCTAGTTAGCCAGTACCGCGGCTGAAGTTCACAGTCTCTCAGAGAACGGCTCGGAAGAGAGGGGCAGGGTCAGCAGAGCTCATTAGCATTTAAAGGGACATGCACCGAAACGGCTCGCTCTGAACAGAGATGATTTTGACAGGGTAAAAAGTGTGTTTTTACACTACCATTGAGCAATTTTAACTAAGCACGTTATAGACTTTTCATTAAGACCCTAAAGAATGATATCAATCATACCAAGCATCCGATGACCCCTTTAGCCTTCATAATGCATTAAAAATCTGCATACTAACTGTTTGGACCTGAAGAACTTTTATTTTATAAAACAGTCATAACTTGATATATTTGAATTAAAACCGTACAGTATTTGAACAGCAACTTGAATGGTAACGTGAAGAATTCAAAGTTTTGAATGTTACCATGTTATTACTGCAAAATTATTTAGAGTATTGATAGTGCGAGTCGTCTCACCCTGAGCTTCTGCTGGTCTGTCGGGCAGCTTGTCGTTCTTTCCTCTTCTTATCTGGAGGTTTGGCCAGCACGATCTCGATCTGCTCACCGCCCAGCTGCTTCCCGTTCATCTCCTGCATCGCCTGCAGACACACGAGGAGCCCATCAGCACGAGCTCACGGGAATCCTAAGCTGTGCTAAGTGAAGTAAATACACAGCCAGACACTGAGGGGGCTTCCTCTTTTGGCTGATGAATATTTAATTGTTATTCATGACAAAGTGTGCATGCAGACCTACGGCTGTTTATGATGTCCTAATGATGCACAAACACTGATGTCATCACGTCTATCCCTACTGAAACAGGAAGTGACATCATCGGGCCCTTTCTAAAGCATGACAGCAATACAAATACATATGTTTGGGCATTTAAAATGAGTTGAAAACTTCTCTTAAAGCGACTGAAAAAGAAGAGCGCCTTAAAAATCTCTTAAATAAAGATGAACCAAGTTACGTTTTATTTGTTATAATTTGCTTTTATATTTATTATTTGTAAATATATATTTTTTTCTTTTTTAATGCACGCTGCTTGGGTTTATCACGGCAGTGTTTAAAAATTATATTGCCCGTTTGTTATTTTAACAGATTTAATGAAACTCTTAAAAAAAGCCCACTGATTAAAATACCTTTAGCAAAAAAAAGGAGAAAAAAAAGGAAAAAGAAAAGCCAATGCTACCATAACAAAATCAAGCAATAATTTAGATTTTTTTAAAAAACCCTCACATTTATGAAGGGGGAAAAATAACTATAAAGATACAGTTTTAAAAATCGTTCTCAATATTAAAGCGTCCACACCACAACTATAACGATAAAGGCACAGAGAAACGATATCGCTGGAATCACTTTTTTTCCAGCTGATGAACGATACAAACATTGACAGCCAATCAGAATCCATCCTGCTGTAACGAGCTGGAGCATTTCAAGCGACGGTGTGGACGCTAACATCGTTATCTTTATAGTTATCGTCCTTGGTGAGAACGGAGCTTAGATCTATAAACCTGTTACTCATTTCGGCACCATCTTCATTTCTTTTTTATGTTTACTTAATAGTCGCTGCAGAAATAATTAAATCAGTACTCAAACTGTACGTATGCATCTCAGAAAGTTCGGTGACAGGGTTGCATGTGCAATAACACATACAGTAAGTGTGTGAGAATCTTAATGAAAAGGAGAGGTTTGACCTTGACTGCGGCGTCTCGCTCCTCGAAGTGAACGAAGGCGTAGTCCTTCAGCTTCTTGACGCGCTCCAGTTTGCCGAACTGAGAGAAGGTGTTCTCCAGCAGCTCCTCTGTGACCGACATGTGCCGGTATTCGGTAATGCGAAATATCACAATAATGAATATGCACGATATTGTTATCGTGAGCACTTCAAAATACAGAGAATAATTATTTATAACAAATTATTCAGAATTTTGAATGCATTTTAAGAATATTTTTCCCATCAACTGGTCACAATGCACAACACCGCAGTACGCTGCGTCAGACGCGTGTGTAAACAACACATTTTAACCGGTATCGGTACCTGAATTCCGGTGCCGGTACCCAACTGTAACTTTTTTCGGTACTTTACTCTCTGTGTAATTAAAAAAACATTTCAGTGAAAAAATAAAAGTCCAAAAGTCTCAATTTCAACATTTTGAACAATAGGGCCC